TTCAAGACACATTTTACTTGTTTGACGAAATAAAGAACTATCGAAAATTTTGCGAGAGCATGGTCAGCGTTTTTGGTGATCCAAAAAAGTGTCATTTGGTGGTAAAAAATGATCATCGGACATATGCACATCAAATTATCATATTTTTTATAAAAAAATATTAATTATTACAAATTTTGTTTCCATATTTTGAATCATTTCGAACCAAGATTTTTAATTCTTAAAGTTTACTTTCAATTAGACAGTTTAAGTGTCCTTTGCAAGAATCAATCGACATGAGTGATTCAAAAAATATTCGCTTGGCTTTGACCGCGAGGCGTACTGTTTATGTCAAAGGCAGGTTTAGAATTTTTGGAGGTGCAGAGCAAAGAAGGTGCAAAAGTGGTCATGCAGGTTTTGAGAGTGGAGATCATCCGATTGGAATGACTCAAAAAATATTTTCTTTGTGTTATTTTAATGATATGAAGAAATGAAGTTTTCCGAAAAGGCAAGTCCAGCGGTTTCAAAATTTTGAGAAAATTTTTTTTTTTTTTTTTTTATTAACTCTTTTATTTACAACTGTCCAGTATAGGACATTCAGTAAATTTAATGGATTTACAATAGTCCGCCGAAAAGGTACATTGTATACAACTTTGACTTGTTGGAAAAAACAACTCAGTAGTTGTTTTTTCGATACAAAATTTACAATATTTACTTATTAAATAATTTCTTATAAATAATTATTAAGTTATTTCCATTTTTTTCTCAGGAGAGTTGATTGCTTAAATCCAGTGGCGCTTTTCTTTTCAACCTTCTACGATAGTTCTCTGTTATCAATGAGTTTGCTAATGTATTTGGGTGATTGATTAGCTTGTTTCTATACTTCTGTGCTGTTTTTGTTATTACTTCATTTATGGTAGGTGTATTCGTGTCGGCATGAATTAACCAGTTGGGAACATATTTTGGAGCTCCTAAGGCAATTTTCAAAAATTTGTTTTGAAATTTCTGTATAATTTCTATATTGGTCTTATGAGCACTGCCCCACAATTGTATACCATAACACCAAATTGGTTTGAATAAAGTTTTATATAAAAGTAGCTTATTGTATGCGCTTAGTTTGGATTTAGTTCCTAGTAACCAGTAAAGCTTTTTGGTTTTATCTCAAGCTGTTGTCTCTTTTTTTTATATGAGTTAGCCAATTAAGTTTTCTATCGAGGTATATGCCGAGATATTTCACATGGTCTTCTTGAGGTACTTGAGTATTTCCTATTCTTACTGGTGGGCAAGTCTCTCTTCTAAGTGTAAATGTGACATGTACTGACTTTAAGCCATTCATTTCAAATCTCCAGGTTTTGTTCCATTTTTCTAATAAATTTAAATGGTTTTGGAGTAACTCAGAAGCAGAACTGGAATCTATGTGGCTGGCTAGAATGCACGTATCATCAGCAAACGTAGCGATCAAAGTGTTAGTTGTTATTGGTATGTCAGATGTGTATATTAAAAATAGAATTGGCCCCAAGACGCTTCCTTGTGGAACACCTGAGGAAACTGTCTTATTTGATGATTCAGTTTCTAAAATATTTACATAAAAACTCCTATTTGACAGATATGATCTTATTATTAAATATAGAGAGTACGTCAAATTCATTTTTAATTTATAGAATAGTCCAGTATGCCATACTTTATCAAATGCTTGTTGTATATCTAAGAATGCTGCTGAACAGTACTTTTTTTCTTCTAGTGATTTATTTATATAATGGACAATTCTATGAGTCTGCTCTATGGTCGAATGCAATTTTCTAAATCCAAATTGGTATTGGGGTATAATGCTTTTGCTTTCTAATTCGCTTAAAATTTTTTTAAGCAAAAGTTTCTCATAAATCTTTGAAAGAATAGAAAGTAAACTTATGGGTCTGTATGATTTCAGCATACATGGATCTTTCCCTTCTTTTTGGACGACAATAATCCTGGCAGTTTTCCATACGTCCGGAAATATTCTCAATCTCGAAATAGAATTAAATAAGATAGTAATAAATCTTATTGTTTTAGGTGTAGACTCTTTTAACATCTTGCTTGTAATGAAGTCATTGCCAGGACATTTACCTGATTTGGAGTTTTTAATTATTTCCTTAACTTCTGAAGCAGAAAATCGGATAGGTACAGTATCTTCAGATGCCTCAACATTTGTTGATAAAAAGTCATGTATAAATTTTTCTTCATGATATGGTATTTGTGAAGGAATTGGTTGGAAAACTTGCTCAAAATAATCTGCAAACGCATTTGCCTTTTCCTGACGATTCCTTGCCCAAGAATTGACATCTTTCTTAATTGGTGAAGTATGTATAACAGGTTTTTTAAAGTTTTTGGTCATTCTCCATAGTGAATAATTAGTGTCACTAGTTGCTGTTAGATTATCTAGTTTTTCTTCCATGTTAGCATTGTTAATATCATGTAGAGACTTTTTTAATTCTTTACAAGCTTTGTTAAAGTTTGATCTGTCAGACGGGGATCTAGTAATTTGCCACTTTTTTCTGAGACGTCTTTTTATGGCTATTTTTTCTTTAATGTGAATTGGAATTTGTTTTGTAGAAGAACTATCAATCGTAGGAGTAGATTTTTGAGCTGCTAGTTGTATTGTGTTTGTGAGAGATGCAATAGCCTCTTTTATATCATCACTGGATTTTAATGGAACATTACAATTTATATCATGATCAAGAATTTCTTTGAATTTATCCCAATTAGTATATCTGTTTGAGAGAAATCTTGTCGTTGAAATATCAGGAGTATAGGAATGAAGGTGAAGTAGTACAGGCGAGTGGTCCGAATTCAAATCTAGGCATGATTGTACTGTTACTAAGTTACTTGGAATCCCTTTAACTAAAAAAAAGTCTAGTAAATCAGGAATTTTTTGATGATCAGTAGGCCAATAAGTGGGTTCTCCAGTTGATATTGGTGTTAAATCTTTACTCAATAGTGTTTTATATAACTCACGACCTCTTGGCGTTATTAGTCTCGAACCCCAATGGGTGTGTTTAGCATTAAAATCACCACCGGCTACAAAATGATTACCTAGCTTGTTAAAGAAATTTACAAATTGATTTTCTAAAATTTTATATCTAGGTGGGCAATATACCGCTGAAAAAATTAATTGTTTACCATTAAATGTAGTTGAAATATTTGATGCCTGTAAGTATTCAGTACAATATGGTTCAGATAGATCGTGTTTTATTTTAGTTTTTATAATGATCGCAGATCCTCCATGTGCCGTACCATCAGGATGCCTGTTACTATATATTGAGTAGTTGGGAATATTCATGAAACTTTTATCTGTGAAGTGCGTCTCTGAGATCAGCATTACGTCGATATTATTATGCATGAGGAAATTTTTGATTTCCAAATGATGTTGACTTAGGCCATTAGCATTCCAAAGGCACAGGTTCATTTATTGTTTACCATTAGACTTGTTAGTACTTTGAACATTGTGCCCATCTGTTCTAATAGAGTTTTCAACATAGATTTCAGTTCATGCATGTCATTGTCTTGTTGGCTTGTAACTGCATTGGTTTGAGAATATTCATTATGATTATGTTTAGAATTGAGTTGTCCATGTGTAGCTTGAGAATAAGAAATATTTGGGTTGACTGTACTATCCATTCGTCTATGTTGCGTTATATTTCTTCTGAGCAAAGGAAATCTTTTTTCTCGCTCATCCTTGTACTTCTCACATCCTTTATAATTGGCTGGATGGTTTCCTGAACATAATACACATTTTACGTTTGTGTTAAATTTGTCATCCCAAGAACACTTAGATGTCATATGTTCACCAGCGCATTTTACACATCGTGGTATTCTGTGGCAATAATTTTTTGTATGTCCATATTGTTGACAACGTAAGCATTGTACTATTTCTCTAGTTGGCCTTTTAGGTTCAATTACAACTTTAGTTCTATACAAGTTTTCCAAATTATATATGTTTTTATTGTTTGTATTTTGTTCCAATTCTACTAGAAATAGATTTAATGGATACTTTGTCAGTCTGCTTCTGATGTTCGCAATTCTTAATACCTTATGTTCATGGGATTCTATTTCTTGTTTAAGTAGATCCAGGTCTGTGCTGTGGTGTAAATTTTTGATAACTATTTTGAAGCTGCGTTTATTTTTTTCTTGATACGAATGCATCTGAGTACCTCTTTCCTTTAGTAGTTTTGCTATAGTATATTCGGATTATTTTTGAATTTTTGAATATCTCGGTTCGATTTATCGAGTTTAGTCCAATGACTTTTTAAATTGTGAAATCAGTTCAGGCGTTTTTAAAAATTAAATTTTGATTTATTACATCACAAAAGCGACTTTTAACACAAATTTTGACAATGAAATTTTATCAAATTTTGATAAATTTTTAAAATTGTCGAACCTTTTGACTCATCAATATCTTTCAATTATCTTTTTTTAATTTTGAAACACGTAATATGTTTGCACTTTTATGCTAATTTCAAACAACCGGCTTGGCCGATCGTCTCGCAAACCTAATCGGTCCGGCCGGTTTTTACCAAAAATTAATGAATACGATTTTCAACCAAGATCTTTCGAATGGTTATTGAATTTTTAAAATCGGCATAAGACTGTGGGCTAAAACGTAGGCGATTTTCTTTTCTCTTTTGTTAATTACAAAAAAACGGCTTGGTGGACCGATAAACCTGCCTTTCATACAAGTAAAATATTTTTGAATTATTCGGAAACCAGTCTCTCTCCTCTCTGAATTGCAATTTTTTGCCAAAACTAATCAGAACGTTTTCTTATCTATGGGAATAAAACATACATACATACATACACATCAATTTTTTTTCAAGGTATGCCAAAATGTTCAGAAATGTTGAAACGCAAAAATATGCAAAAATTTTCATTTTCGATCTTTTGCGAATTACTATAACTTACTTTACGCAAAGTTAAAAATTGTATTTATGTAATTTAGAATAAAATTATAGTTTAATTAAAAAAGTAAAAAATTGTCTATTAAAAAGGGCGCCTGATCAGATAGGGCCTAGGGCGGCAGAAACCTTAATCCGCCACTGCTACTACCCCACCAACGATCGTCGGAGTCC